CGGGATGCCCAGGCAGTATTCCCAGAAGTCGGGGCAGCAGTCGGAGACGGTGCGGTTGCAGAAGAGGTCGCAGTAGCAGAGGGTGTCGTGGTAGGGCACCGTGCAGGCGTCGTCGCGGCCGCGGCAGCAGACGTCCCCTCGCTGGCAGTAGGAGCCCCCGGCGTCGTAGACCCCGTTCTGGTACAAGCCGGGGCCCAGCTCCCGGCGGGTGCGGACCCGGGAGCTCAGGGCTGCCCGGGCCACCAGCCAGAGGCACAGCAGGGCCCGCAGCGGGCGCATGTCCCCGGGCATGTCCCCACGCCGGCACCGCTGCAGAGGGAGGGCACTGAGGGCACGGGGGTCCTGCATTCTGCACACACCCGTCCCGCTGGGTCACATCCCCCCTCCCTGAGTCCCCGCCCTGCCCTCCCCCAGGACGCTCAAAACATTCAGAGTTTTGTAACTCCCCTTGAGATCACACAGCTCAGGGTTCCCACAACCCCCAAAACACCGTCTGCCCTCAGCTGCCCACTCCTGGGCATCTGAGGGGCCCCGTGCCCGCCCACCCTGCTCCAAGAGCAAAACCCCCGCGGGTTGGGGCTCCTCAGGACGCCCGGGAGGGGCTGCCCGGCTCCCGTTCCCAGCCCCAATCCCAGTGCCCACCGCGGGCAGTGCGATGAGCTCCCAGGTCTCAGCCCACGGGGCCGAGCGGGGCGATGAGGACCCTGAAAGAGGCGGGAGGAGGACAATCCGGCACTGGGAAGGACCCGCTCCCGCGTGGTCCCGTCCCGTTCCATCCCCGGGCCGTACCTGCCGCGCCCCACGCGGGGGGTTCCCCGCGAGAGGGGTGGGGGACCCGATGCGAGGGTCTCGCGCGGAATTTGTGGGGCAGGACCCCCCTCCCTCCCTCCCTCCTCCCACCCGCGTCCCCAGCGTCCCCGCCCGGTCCCGTACCTGCCGCGCCCGCCGCTCCGCTCCGGCTCCGCCGCCGCCGCGGCCCCGCCGCTCCTTATAACCGCGCCCCGGCTGGGGGGGCGCCGGGGGAGGCGCCGGGGCAGCCGCGACCGGCCGGGGCGGAGCGCAGCGGGGCGGGGGTCGGGCCCGGGGCTCCCGGCGGGACGGGCGGCAGAGCCCCGGACTTGTCGCCCCCCGCCCGGGGTCCTCGACGACACCTTCTCCGTGCCCGCGGGGCCGGGCTCTCCCCAGATCCTGATCCCCCTCCCTATGCTCCCCCCGCCCCGCCGGAGCCCTAGCAAAATGAGGGGTCCCGGCTGCCCTTCCAGCACTCCCTGCTCCATCCAGGGGGTTCCCGGGGATCCATCGTGGGGGATTTCCCCATTCCTGGGCGAGGTGTGGGGAGAGAAGCGGAAGAGAGAGGAGGGGGCTGCGTGTCTCCCACTTCCAGCTGGATATAAGCGATACAGGGACACCCCATCACAGCCCAGGGTACGGAGTTGGTGTCACTTGGAGCCAGCCCCGTGTCCCCCGCTGCCAGCACCCAGCCCTGTGTTCGGGGACCGGGAATGGGGGGTCTTGGCCACCCCGCCAGACTTTGGTTCCCTCCTCAGCACCAGCACCTGCTGCGGGGCTCCAGCCGCCCACGCCGGGGCTCCTGCTGTCCCTGCCCCGCCGGGAGAATCACCCAGCGCTGCCAAGGGATTCCTCGAAGATGCCTCGTGGCAGCCAGGACGGGAGCACCGCGGGAGGAGCGGGGTTCCCTGCGTGGCCGTGGGTGGCGGGCTCCTGGCTGAGCCCTGAGGCAGGTGCCACGCTCAGGGTGTGCTTCACCCCGCGTGTCCACGCACGGGGAGCACCAAATCCCACTGGGAACGAGGGCTGCCGGCTCCTCGGGACCCCAGGGGGCTCTGGGTGCTCAAACGAGGGTCCTGCAGGAGCCCCATCCACAGAGACGCCCCCCCCTCCCCCTGCACTGGCTGCACGTCCAGAGCTCTTGGAAAGGCCTTTTCCTGTAAATGTGTCCTTGGGCAGCGCTGGGGCTGGAGCGCCGCAGGAAGGAACTGCGTCCAGCCCAGAGTCCGACCGTCTCCAAGCACACTTTGCTCCGTGACTGGACAGAGAGGAATCCGCAGTGACTCACAAATTCCCTAAGACCCTCGGGAACAAACGCAAAGCCACTGGCACAAAGGACATCCCAGACCGCTGCTCCCTGTCCTTGTTCCCCTGCCAGCCCCCTGGCAGCCCGCGGGACGCTGTGGGGTGCTGCGGGAACAGCTGGCCCCTTCCCATCCCCGTGACAGCGCTGTCCCCCCGCCAGCTGATAAGGGCTGGTGCGCGGAGGCGGGAGCGGCGACAGTCCAAGTGTTCAGAGCACCCCCTCACCCCCCGCCCGGGGCCGTGCTCCGCCTGCCAAGCCTCGCTGGGGCGGGATGCAGCCAGCTGGCACCGCGGGGTCACGGCTCCCCGTGTCCCTCCGACCCTGGCGTCCCCCCTCACGTGCGTCCCCTCTCCGGGGAGAGGCAGCCTCTGGCACACGTGGGGCCAGGAGGAAGTGGAGGGGGGACAAAGTCCTGCCAGGGCACCTTGGGCCCATGTGATTGCAGGGGGCAGAGCCGGGCGCCACTGGGCTGGCACACACGCCTACCCTGCCTTTGCCACCACCCCCAGCCACGCTGTGGGAGGGAGCAGGTCCCAGGACCCCATCCCCACCTCACAGAGCCGTAGAAAAACCCCACACCCAGGTGGGGTCACCCAGAGACCCCCGTCCCAGCAGGCTGGGGCAGCTCTGGGGGCAGCAGGGCCGGTGTGGTTGGGGCAGGGAGGTGCTGGCCTCAGTGCCGTGCTCCAAGACGATCCAGGAGTGAATTTCTTGGCAAGAGGCAGCCAGGAAAGGCAGGGACTGACCTGCAGCCAGCCCCAGCTTCCTCCCCAGCCAGAGGCACGGGAAGGGGCCACCCCAGCCCCCTGACATTGCAGGCTTGTTGTCTGTAGGGTGTCAGCACACAGGGATGGGGCCAAGGCTTTGCTGTCCCTGGATTACTGGGGTCTCCTGGGGAGCCTGGAATGGCTTTGGGGACATCACAGAGTCATCCCCTTTGAGGAGGGGGCACACTGTGATACTTCCAAAGAGGCAGGTGGGGCGCAGTGACCCCACGAGGCGCCCAGGCAGGGCACGGGCCCCTCTGCGGTGGCACCAGGCTCGCACCCTCCAGGCACATGGGGTGATGGAGCTGAGGGGGGCGATCAGGCTGCAGCTGGGGGCCCCCATCCCGCTGCGGGGGGCTGCTGCAGCTCAAGGGGAGCCCCAGGGGGTCAGGAAGGCGGCCGGATGCCTCTGTTCCCTGGCCGGGTGCCCGTGTCCCCTGGCAGGACACTCCCGTCCCCCGGCCACGGCTCGGCGGGGCTGGAGTGCCACCTCTCGGGAGAGCGGGGACAGAGTCGGCAGCAGGCGACAGCAGCCTCTACTCCAAATTTTAATGAAACAAATAAGTTAATAACTTAATCAAGTGAGGTAACTACCGCTGGCTCGGGAGGTCCGCGGGGACCAGCCAGCCCCGGGGAGGGTCCTACGAGTTAGTTCCTTTTGAGTGCGGCTGCGGGCAAAGCTGTCACATGCACCCTCACCCCGCGGCCGGGCACCCCTCCCTGGCACCCACCCACCCCTCGTGTCCCACCCCCGGGGCGAGGGGAGGGGGCCAGGGCGGTGCAGGAGCAAGGTGAGGGGGGCTGCAAGCAGCTCTGGCACGGCCCGTGCTGGCCACATGCACTAAGGAGGCCAGAAAACGAGCAGGGTCGGGGGTCCCCACTGCCAGAGGCACGGTGGGGGGCTGGGTTTGGGAAAACAGGATGCAAATCCTATGGTCCGAAACCCAGAGAGGGGCTGCGCTGGCAGCCAGGGGATCGGTGGGATCCTGCCAGCCCAGGGCAGATCCCTCACCGTGGGTGTCACCTTCCCCAGGACCCCCAGCTGGGCAGGAGCAGCCACCAGCTGCAGCCTGGCAAACTTTGGCACGACCACGATCGCTTCCAGCCTGGCTCAGCCCAGCGCTGCCGGGCTGGGAACCAGCCCTGGGACTGGGACAGGAGCGGCACAGGAGCTGCCGTGGCTCTGCTGCAGGTGACATGCAAGGAGATCCCCCTGTCCCCACCAGGCTGTCACCCCCCCAGGCCCGGCCCATGCTCCCCGGACCACGGAGGGGACAGGGACACGGGGAGGGACAAACTGAGCACCACAGGAGCCAGAGGGGAGGGGATCCTCTAAGCGAGAGCAGGAGCTGGGACACAGAGGGAGGGATGCTCCCTGGGGACAGCACCTGTGCCTGCATCCCTGCTCCCTCTGTGGCCCCTGCCCAGCTTCACAGCTCCAGGGCCACTCTTGGGTCATGGTTTTTCACCTGGCTTCCAGGACCTCCAGGGCCCCCACAGGCAGCAGGATCCAGCCCTGTGAGCTGGCAGGGGGGTTGCTTATTGCCTATGTCCCCTCAGGTTGTTCTTCCTGGGGTTGTTGCATATTAAGACATTATTGCATAAATATATATATATATCTCCTATATATATATTGCCCTGGGAGCATGCACGGGCAGGCAGAAGGCTCTGCTGTGCTTCTAGAGAGGTGCAGCCCGGTGAGGGGGGAAAGACCCCCACTCCCCAAGCTGGGGGGGCCCTGCTGCTGCCCTGCCCCCGAGCGATGCAGGTCAAACCACATCAGGTTGTGCCCCCACAGCCTCACTCAGCCCCAGCAGCAGGAGGGAGGTGGGACCTTGCATAGCTGGTGGTGACCCCAGCTTGGTGCTGGGGGGGGACCTGGCAGGACCCCACTGGGGAGCTGGACATGTCCTGAGAGCTGGGACTGGGGCACGAGCCAAGCCCCAGGAGACGGGGCCAGCTTGGCTGGGGAGCACTCAGGGCAGGGGTTTCATGCCCCGGGAAGGGCAGGAGCATGCCAGGAGCGCGGCCTGGCCGTGCCATGGGCTCCCACTGCGCCCCCAGAGCGGGCACCCCGCTCAGCCGTGCCCCCACAGGGGAAGACTTGGCTCAATGACGCGGCGAGGGACGTGGCTGGGCGGGGCTGGCGGTGCCACCGTGTCCCCGGCCCCCCACCCCGCGCGGGCAGGGGCCATCCCGCTGCCTCCCGCTCAGTCCATGTTGGCGCTGGCCGACCTGGAGATGGTGAGGGTCTGGGCGGAGGCCGAGATGTCCTCGTGGTCCACGGGGCTGTGGTAGTCGGAGGTGATGTCGGGCTCGCAGGGCGGCACCCGCACGGCGGCCAGGCTGAAGGAGTTCGTGGAGCCCTTGCGGAGGCACTGGGAGTAGAGGCCGAGCAGCAGGTCCAGCTTGTGCTCGATGGATTGTACCTGCAAGGAGGGCAGAGTGGGGCTGAGCCCATTTTCCCACTGCAGGGAACATGGGAATTCCAGTTCCCCTGTCCCGCCGGGGACGCATTCCCAGGGGGTGTCCCCTCCTGACCTGCCGCTCCACTTTGACCACGCGCCCCATCATGCTCAGCTCGTCCACCAGCTCCATCTCCAGTGCCGGCTTCTCCCCCTTCTCCCTCACCTTCTTGTCCACAGCCAGGGCCCCCCTGCCCATGATCTGGTCCACGCTGGCAGGGAAGGAAGGCACAGAGCCCGTCACTCCCTGAGGCCACGAGCGATGGGCAGGGGGCTCTGGGAATGTGTCCCACCCACAGCGACAGGCCAGCACCTCATCTCGTGGTGGGAGACCCAGGGAACCCCACCACCCCCAGGGCACCTCACCGCGTCTGCAGGCTCTTGATCCTGCCCAGCATGTCCAGGTGCCCGGCCGAGTACTGCTCGATGACGTCCTTGACGTCGTAGGGACGCAGCGTCTCCTTGAACTTCCTCTTGGCCACCAGGAACTTCAGGATCCTGCAGGGACACCTGGGCTGGCTACGGGGCACTGGGGAGGGACAGGGGGTGCCTGGGGACGTGGGAGGGGATAGTCTCACCTGACAGCCCTGATGAGGGTCTTCACTGCCGGCATGATGTCCTCGAAGGTCAGGTCGCAGTGGGAGCCCTTCTCCTCGCCGCTGTCCTCCGGAGGGCAGTCGGCTGTGGGTGCCAAGAGCAGGTGGATGGCAGAGACGAAGGGCTGCCCCCCATCTGCCCCCCACCAAAAACACCTGCAGCCCCCCCCCCCAGCGTGTCCCAGACTGCACCAGTGAGTCCCAGGGCTCACCCTCAACCGGGGTCCGGGGCTTGAGCCTCAGGGAGGCGCGGAAGCGCGTGCGGTCGTTGAAGCTCCAGCTCTTCTGCACCTTGGTGGGGCTGGAGGCCTCGGCCACGTCCTCGGTGCTGGGGGAGCGGTGCAGGGGGGGCCCCAGCTGCTGGCGGCCGCGGCTGCCCTGCCGCTGGGAGCTGCTCAGCCAGATCCGCTCCTTCAGCCCCATCTTGTTGCTGCGGGGGGACAGCGGTGGGGGAGAGGGGGGCGGCGTCACCGGGGGTGGGCATGGGGACAGTGGGCACATGAGGTGCCCACCGTGGTAGGGGTGGCTGTGCTGAGCTCATGGAGAGCCCCCCGGCACACGACAGGCACGAGCCAGGCCAGGAGCAGGCGGTGCCACAGCAGGGGCAGTTCTGGGGTTTAACTCCTCTAAACATCTTTTTTGATTTTTTGTCCCAAGAGCAGAGGAAGGAGGTGGCTGACAGACAGGCAGAGTGGGGACAGACAGGTGTGGCAGTGGGGGACACGTGGCAGAGCCACTGGCAGAGCCCGGTGGGAGCAGCCCTGCTCCCGCTCCACCCCCTCTGGCACGGGGCATCCCGGGATACCCAGCCAAGCCCCTGCACCCTCCTCCTCCTCCAGGCTCTGCTCCTGCCCTAACACAGGCTCTGCTCACAAAACCAGCCACTCCACTGGACTGGGGGGAAACACCAGGCATCATTTATGTAGGACCTACACAAAAACATAACCTCATGCTGCCTTTTGCACGACCTGGGACCCCAAGCACAGCTCGAGCCTCAGGAGGACAAGTGGATGCACAGGGGAGGACTCCAAAGCCAGGGAGGACAAGGAGCAAATCCCACCCATGCTGCAGGACAGGTTCCACAGTCTCTGGGAAGACTCCTGGATTTCCTGGGGCAGGAGTCACAGGGCAAGGCAGGGGGACAGGCAGGGTGGAGGCAGGGGTAGAGCCCTTCCCCATGCAGGCTGCTGGTCTGGGGAATGGGAATGGCTGCGTCCTGAGGGACCAGGCTGCAGGACAGCGGTGGGATGGGGTCAGTCCGGGTGCATCAGCTGGTTGGATTTGGCACCCCCATCCACGATGCACGATGGGGGAACTGAGGCAGGGCTGCTGTGGGAGCCAGTGGGGGACAGTGGGGAGAGACAGCTCGGCCCAGGCCATGCACAGACCCCCCTGCCCTGCAGAAGGAGCCCCCCTTCGGCCTCTCCCCGCTCTGCCTCACTCCCCGCCCCTCTCCACGCTGCAGTCCACAGGCATCCAGGCACGGAACACCATGCATCCCGCCCTTCCCGGTGCCACTCTCCGTCGGGATGGGCAGGCAGCCAGCGCGGGCAGGCAGCAAGGACACGGTACCTCCGTCTCCACGTGCCCCACGTCTGCAAGAGCCTCCTCTTACCACTAAAGATGGGGCTGGAGGGTCAGGGCAGAGACACAGGAGAAAAGAGAGTCAGCCGTGGCTGTGGGGGGTGGGTGGAGCGCAGCATCCCGGGCCACATTCCCGACCCCCCGGGCACGTGGGCGCAGGGACCCGGCGTGCCATCGCTGAGCATCCCCCGCTGCTCCGGAGCCACGGCACCGCCTCTGCCGGGGCGGGGTGGGGGGGACGGGCAGGATGGTTTGTGTAGGTCCTGCATAAACACGGTGCCTGTTCCAGTTCCGCGGCTCCGCCAGAAGGGTTCGGTGACCGCAGGCGGTGCCGAGCGGTGGGAGGGGGCGCCGGTGACCCCGCGATCCCCGCTCCCCGCCCAGCGCCGGGGGAGAGCGTTACCTGAGCCGTAAACACTTGTGGGGCTGCACGTCCTCCTCCTTCCAGCTTGGGGGGGCACGGGAGGTTTGGGAGGGGAGGTTGGAGGGATGGAGAGGAGCGGGGTGAGCAGGAGAGGGGAGGAGAGAGAGAAGATGAGATGTTATGAGAGGTGATGCTCGCGGAGGAGATGGGGGGCTCGGGATCCCCGAGGGAGGGGTGCAGCCCTTCCCCTGTTCATCGGGACACCGAGCCCAGGCCGGTGCTGCTGCAGGGAGGAGCCCCCTGAGCACAGACTCACCTGGGGGTTGGGGAGGAGCAGGTCCCCCCCAGCCTCACATCTGGCAGCACAGGGGACACTGAGGCACGGGGAGTGCCCCACCTAACCCTGCTGCTGGCCCAGAGCCCTGTGCCAATGTGCCAGTGCTCTGGGTGGCTGGCCATCCCGACAACACAGCAGCGCTGCCTCTGCCAGGGTATTTTCTGCCATGGTTGGTGCCCCTGCGCCCGGTCCAGGTGCCGTGGCCACAAGAAAAAGGGGATTCACAAAGATACAACAGCCCAGGGCCTCTCCTTGAGGACCAAATGTGCCCCCTCTGGAACAGGGAGCAGTGCTGGAAGCAGTGCCAGGAGCAGGATGGACTCCCAGCATGGCACTGAGTGGGGGAGCAGGGCCAGTTTGGGGGGGTGGGCACGGCTGGGGTCCGGTCTGGCAGTGATGGCACCGCGGTGGCATCGCAGGAGGACACAGAAGAGCAGAGGAGACAGAGCAGAGAGGAGGGAGAACACGGGGGCTGTCCCCTCCTACCTTTCCCCTAGACACGTGGCCAGGCTTTTCTGGGCAGGGGTGTAGGAGAGATAAGTTGGTGGGGCTCTGTCGGGCAATTTTTTCACCTCTGAGTTCCTAAATCCTCCGTTGCGAACTCGGTGCAAGTGCTCAAACATAAGGACCAGCTCTCTGAGGTCGGAGCGAAATAAAAACAAGGAGAAATTAAATTTTCCAAAGCAAACAGGGCGTGCAAACCAAGGCTGAGCAGCACCGGGTCCTCCTGAGCACAAAACAAAGCAAAACCAGGGCAAAGCAAGAAGAAAAAACCAGCATTTTTGTTCAAAAGACAGTTTCTTAACAGCAGGATGAGGTGTTGGGGGGGGATGGGGATGGATGGGGAGCTGGGACAGGGTCCCACAGAAAGGAGGGGTTGGACCTGTGCTGAGAGGGGTGGGTCAGGCAGGGACAGGCAGGACACCCCTTGGATGGGGTGGGGACAGGAGAACCTGCCACCATCAGATCCAGGGATCTGGGCACAGCTGGAATAGCCAGGAGGGAAAGCTCAGATCCAACAGGGATTGAGTCTGGCTCTATCTCAGCTCCCCACTGCAGGGGAAGTGACTCCTGACCCAGCAGGTGAAGCCCCCCATGATCCCAGGCTCTGTGGTGATGCTCAGGAAGCTGCATCTCCTCAGTCAGGGACCAGAGGGACTCGCTGTTGGGCTGTCCAGAGTCCTGTCTTTGGTAAAAATAAAAAGGGGAACAGAAGAAGAACGAATTTGTCCCTGCAAAGGAACACCCGGGTGGAGCAGGGCAGGAGGCACAGGCAGGGATGAGGCCCAGGGGAGGCAAACCCAGGTGAGTTCAGGGCGATGGGGACACAGAGAGAGTCTGGAAAAGCTCTGGAGATTCTTTGATCCACCCAACTACATCCCAGGGGCCATGGGAGGGAGAACTCGGCAGGGATGGGACATGGGGCTCCCACTGGATCCCACCACGTCCATCTGGGTCCACACTCGGAGCCGGCTCCCATCCGGCTGCAGCTCCATGGCCCCAGCCACGGGCTCCCTGTGGCTGGTGACACCGTCCTGTTCCCCACAGTGGTGCTGGAGGAAGGCTATGGATGGGATGAGAGGGTGGGATGAGTGCTGGGTGCTGTGAGGATGATGAGGGCGGAGGAGGGAGTTGGACACTCCAGCAGATGCCGTGCTCCAGCGATCCAGGGCCGAGGAAAGTGTCGGTGCTGCTCGACCCCACCGAGCCCTCCGTGGCTCCACATGGTCCCTCCTGGCCTCCCAGGCTGCTCATCCCCACAGAGACCCCCTTGGCAGCCCCCCAGCCTTTGCCCCCTGCCCTGCCTACCTGAAGGTGGGCAGTAGGCTGTCGTAGTAACACCACGTGGCCGTCAGGTACGCCCGGCTGACGTCAGTGGAGTACAGGCGCCAGGCAGCCTGCAGGGAGAAACACCACGGGAATTGGGATCAGTTGGGATCAGCTGAGACCCCCCTGCCGACCCCTCCATCCCCCCTGGCCACTGCAGAGCCCACCCCAAAGGAGCCAGGCATTGGACACGGGGCCAGGAGTGGGGGTGCTCCCTGCAGCAGGCAGGGGCAGGCAGAGGAGACGAGGGGGCAGAGCAGAGCATTCCCGGGAATTCCCGCACTACCTGGATCAGGTTTGCCGCCGGAGTCCGCCTCTTCTCAAAGTGCTTCTGCCGGTGCTGCTCCTGCACTTTGAGGGCGAAGCCGGAGCCCAGGATCCCCTGGGGATGGGAGGGGACGAGGCTGTGGGCGCTGGCAGAGGCTGGGACGGGCACAGGGCTGGGTTTGCCCCCTCCCAGCCCTACTCACGGCAGGCAGGGCGAAGAAGGAGATGCCGAGCAGGGCGAAGCCGGCCGCCAGCATCCGGCCCAGCCACGTCTGCGGCGCCTTGTCCCCGTAGCCGATGGTGGTGAGCGTGACCTGCCCGGGGGCGGAGCAGGGCGAGGCCTGGAGGGAGCTCTCCCCCCGAGGCCCCATCCCACCCTCGTGGTCCCCTCCCGGGGCCGGGGGGGCAGTGGCGGCCGAGCTTACCGTGCCCCACCACAGGGAGTCGGCGTAGGTGGCGAACTGCACGTTGGCGTCTTTCTCGGCCAGGTAGACGAGGAAGGAGGCGAAGATGAGCACGAGGAAGCCGATGTACCAGGCGGTGATGAGCTCCTGCGGGGGGGCACGAGGGGTGAGAGGGGCTCGGGGTGGGTGTGTTAGGGGGGAGCATCGGGACGGTGCCTCCTCACCTTGCTGTGGGCGTAGACGACGGAGCCCAGCAGCTTCCAGGTGCCGCCGCGGCGGTCCATGCGCACCATGCGCAGGATCTGCAGGAAGCGCATGCTCCGCAGCGCCGACGTGGCGAAGATGTTGCCCTGGGTGCCGGCGGCGATGACGGCCACCGAGGCCACGAAGACGATGAAATCTGGCGGGGAGGGGGGGGAAAACGCGGGTCGGGGGCGTGGGGCTTCCCCCCAAACGCTGCCATCCCCCGAAGCCCCCCTATTACCTATAACGCAGAAGGGTTTCCTGGCGAAGCGGAAGCGTCCCCGCCAGCCCCGGTAGCGGCAGCAGCAGCCGGCGGCCCAGACGCGGATGATGTACTCCATGCCGAACACCACGATCATGACGAACTCCTGGGGGGGAGAGGGGGCTGAGGTGGGCAAGGGGACTCAGCACAACCTGCAGTGATGCCCCCACAAGGCCACGGGAGCCGTCCCGGGGGAATGGGGGCAGTGAGACGGGAGCCGCAGCCGTCGGGGCTGTCTGAGGATCCCGGCCCTCCTGCCTTGCTCTGAGCTGGGTCCTTTTCCTCCACCGTCAGCATTGTCCTCCTACCTCTCGCACAAACAAGCCCCCGTTCTGCTTACTCGCAGGAAAGTCACAAGGACCTTCCTAATTTAGTCTCCATCACTCGGGAGAAGTCCCGCGTCAGCTCTTTCTGACAGTTTGGGGGAAAGTTGCCTTTTTTAGCCCCTCCTGCCCTGCCTTCTCCAGCGGTTGATGCCTCTCCGCAGCACAGAGGGGCTGTGAGCGGGGATGGACCCCCTGAGCCGTGGGGACACCCACAGCAAGGCCACCCCCAGCTCCACCCCAGCGTGCCAGAGCGGCTGCCATCGTTGGATCATCGGTGACGTCCGGGCTGGGAAAGGGTCGGAGGAGTTTTGTCCGTGATCTTGTCCGAGTCTTTCGGGGTGCACTGTGGGGAGGGGGAATTCAAGCACCAGCTCTGCTCCTGCATCACTTACCAGGATGAAGAGGCACTCGTTGGCCAGTTTCTGGTGCTCCTGGATGGTGGAGAAGACCGACAGCACCAGGCAGCTGAACACGAGGAGGAATCTGGAAGGGGAGAGTGTCAGTGAGGGCATCAGGGTGGTCAGGGGGACCCCAGCACTGGGGCAGCCAGGGGAGCCCAGCCCACAGTGCTGCCCCCCACTCGCAGCCTGAACCCCCCCAGCCAAGACCTCCACGGCAGTGGCTGAGCCACCAGGGACACAGTTTGCCCCTAGATGGTGGCATGGAGCCACTGGGGAGCCCGGGAGCAGCCGTGGGGCTCAGTGCCAGGCTCCACCTCAGCCCTGCTGGCTCTTAATTAAAGGCAGGGAGGGAGACAAGGGGTCCCACACCGTGGAGAGCTCTGCTGCTGCAGAAAGGGGACCAGAGCTTCTCTGGACTGTCCCCAGCACCACTGCCACTGTGGGGACCTGCCAGGGACACGGGGACCACCTGGGAACAGCCAACCTGGGGGGAAGAGTCCCCAGGGAGCTGCTCTGGGGCTGTTCATCCCCGAGCGCTGGGCTCAGGCAACAGGGGCTTTGGCCCATTTAAAATAAGGAGGGGGGAAAAAAAAAAAAAAAAAAAGAAGTAGACTCTGAAGCTGAAGCAAATGAAACTCCAAAAATACATTTTTTTTTCCCCTGATCCAGCTATTCTAAAAAAGGAAAGTGGAGGGCTTGTGCCACCGGCCCACGTGACAGCAAAGGGCCACCGCTCCTTCAGAGCCGGCTCCGGGAACCCATGTCCCACTGGGCAGCACTGGGGTGGCTTGGCTGAGGCTGGCAGTGGCCCTGGCACCGTCTCCCTGAGCTGGTGGGCACCTGTCTCACCCCCCAGCACCGTCACCCCACAGTAGGGCTGGGGAGTAGGCACCCAAAACTCAGTGCCCAGCCTAAAGGGGACAGGTGGGGGTCCCTTTCCCCCAAAATGCTGCTGGAGATGGGACCGACAGCAGAGAAACCCCAGGGAATGGGAGAAGTGCTGGATGCAGAGCATGGAGGAGGGAGAGCTGGAGCCACACACCAACGGGCACGAAGGGGCCGGGGGTGTCCCAGCCTTGTCACCGCCCTGCCCTCGCTGCAGAGGACGATGCTGCTCTCCCGGGCACTCCCCATCCGCAAGGCAGAAGGTTGGAGCCAGTTCCCTTCTCCCTCTGAATTATTAATTGGGGCTCTTTCCTCCGGCACAGCAGTTCTGGAATTAACCCCTGCGGGCACAGCGGTGCCCCCGTGCTGTGGGCAGGGAGCTCTGGGCACCGGGCTGAGCAGGAAAACACGGCCCAGGGTAGAGCTCTCAGCTTTGTGCATCATCAGCAATAAAGATTATCCAAGCAGGATTTAGCAGGCAATTACATGGGCAGCGAAGCACAAAGCAAGAGAGAAGGCAGAAATCTCCCAGCCTGCAAAGATTTGTGCCTCTCTCCTCATCCAGGGAGCGGGGACGGGGGGGTCTCCGGGGCCTGGGCACACGCTGATCCCACGGGGACCTGCTGTGGGTGGCCCTGACTCTGGCACCAAGCTGGAGCCCCACTGTGTTGGAAACCTGCCCTGCCGGGGTGGGGATACCTCCCACCCGGCCCCCTCGGCATCCCACGGGATTTGGTGAAGGATACAGGGCATGAGAGGCCCCACGGGGCTGGCTGGGAAAGAAACTTCCTGGGAACGCATCACCTGCTAGGAATTAACTCCAAAGCCTGGGCAAACGCCCCGTCCCGGCTGCCGGCAGCGCCTAAGCGGCTTAGGGAAGGGTCAGATGCCTGGAGGCAGCACGGGGAGCCGGGAACCAGCACTCCCCGCTTCCTCCAGGGCAGGAACGCTGCTCTCAGCAGCTCCACCCCACTACAAGGGGGGTATCCCACAGCGACCCCTCCATCAAACACCACAGTGCCAGGCTCCCCACCCCACAAGGCCCACCTACCAAAGGGGCCTAAAAAACAAGGAAATGGGGAGAAGGCAGAGATAGAGGGATAACACCCAGCAGGAGCCTCGCTGTCTCCCTGTTCCCTTGTTCTAGCAACCCAGGGAATGGAGGGAGCAGGCGCTGGTGCGGCTGAGCTGGTGTTTCACCTCTCCCCAACAAACTTCTCATGTCCAGCTCCCTCCCAACAGGGTCTCACACCCCTCCCTGCCAGCACACAGTCCCCCACGGGAGGGGATGTGCCACCAGCAGCCTGGGCACAGGGATGGACCCCTCCTGCTGCTCTCACCCGGCAGGAGCAGAGCCCGTCTGCAGCAACACTCCTCCCCAAAATAATAATTAAAAGGCAGCAGGGGCCCGGCTCAGAGAAAGTGAATCTCCTCCCATTAATCTTCATTAGGGTGGACTCTGCCATCTGCTGCTGCCCCATCCAGCAGAGGAACAGGTGAGCTGGGAAAGATGCTGAGCTCAGGGAAGCAGGGCCAAGTCGGCCCCGGGATGGTGAAGAGCTGTTCTGGGCAAGGGGGCACCACTTGGCACCAGTTGGCACCAGTGCCTACCCAAACACCGCTGGGCAAACGGGCAGCACCGGGGACAAGCTGTGCCATGGAAGGGCCGTGATCCCGGGAGCCTGTGCAGCGGGATGGGGCTGGAACAGCCCGCCCAGCTGTGCCCCCCAGCACCCAGCAAGGGCGGCCCCGTGCCCTGGCAGGGCTGGCCGGGCCCCTCACTTTGCCCTGCCCTGCGGGGAAGCCCCGAGCTGGGGGCACGGGCAGTGGCGGGCGCTGCCAGCCCGGCAATAACTCAGCGGAAGGAAAACACCACGCGCCGCAGGATAAACAGCCCGGCCGGGGGATGAGCGAGCAAACAGGTTCTGGGAATGGCACGACTCCCTTCCCTGGCCAAGCCTGGCCCCGTCATGGTGCCCGGGCCGTACCCACAGCTGTGCCCGTTTGCACCAGAACTGCCCGAGCCCCGCTCCGGTGGGGATGTGGACGGTGTTTGACCCTCCGTGCTCCCCATCCCGCCAGGTCCGGCTCCCCGAGCACCCTCTGCAGCTGTATAAACAGCGTGTCCTATAAATCCCCGTCCCTCGCCCCAGCAGCCCTCCAGGAGAGGTGGAGCAGGAGGCCTGTCTGCTGAGGGGGATATAAATAACCGGGGTGTAGCGGCCCTGTTTGCGCCCGTAACCATGGCAGGGTCTGTCCCGCACCGCGGAGAAGAGAAGCAGAAAAGCTCCGAGTGTTTCCCCACGGTCAGGGGAACCAGGGCTGGAGCCAGGAGCCGTCCAGCCCCGCTGCAGCTCTGACACCACAAACCCCAGCACACGCTCAGAGCCCAGCCCCAGCCCGGTTATCAGCAGCAGCAGAGGAAGGGCACTGCTTCCAGAGCCCTCCTGGCCCCCACACCCAGGGATGAGGCAGCACGGGGTGTTCCCAGTGCCCTGACAGAGCCTGGAAGCTGAGCTGGGATGCAGAGCCTGTCTTCAGGCTGCATCCCATGGCAGGGACCCGGCAGCACCCACGGCAGCAGGGTGACGTCCAGATGACGTCCCGCAGCACACACAGGGCCCCAGCACCTTTGTCCTTTGGCAGCCAAATCCTGCCGATGGCATTGCCCATCCCCCTGGCACGGCACGTGTCTGCACCCCAGTGCCACCCAGCACCCCCCGGCCCCACGGTCCCCACGGGGAGCACGGTCACAAGGCTCCTGCGGACGGTGCCAAGACACTCACACGGAGCAGCCGAGATAGTTTTGCTCTTGAATCATCTGGCAAAGAGCTGGGCTGGAGAGGGGGCGGGGGGGGGGAAGAAACCAGAGTGTTCTCCAGTGCACCTCTGGTGCCCGCTGGGCCTTGTGCCCCAGGAGAGGGATCGGGGCTGGCACCCTCCTCCAGCACCTGGGGAGGGATGGGGGCATTTGGGGCACAGTGACATGAGCGGCCCCAAGAAGTCCAGGCAGGCTGGGACCCCAAAGCAGGGAGGGCAGCAGCACCCATAGGCAGAGGGGGCAGGTTTGGGTTGCTGTCAGGAGGGGGCAAAGACCCAAAAGCTCTCCAGGGTGACCCAGCACCAGCCCTGCCCCCCCTGGCAATGGGGCTGCCCCTCCATCCCCACCATCGGGGCGCCTCACCAAAACCAGCATCCTCACCAAACTGGCACCTCCTGCTCTGGGCTGGGGTGGGGGGGGTCCGACAGGAGCAGCAAAAGGGAAAAAGCCGAGAAGGAAAATCAATGCCCAGTTTCATGTTGCGCCGAAGCCGCTTAATTTTATGCCCCGGTGACACCGCCGGGCCGGGGAAAGTGCTGCGACGGCTCTGCTCGCCGCTGGCAGTGCCCCCAAACCAGCTCCCGTTTCAAACCCAGCAGGGGCAGCCCTCAAAGGGCACAGGGGGCACAGCCTCCAGCCCCCCTGGCTGTGGCAGTGGCATCCCCCCAGTGCTGGGCGGGGGGACGAGTTCAAAGCCTGGAGTTTGAAACGGGGTTTTTCCGAGCGGCAGGCGGTGGAGAGTCAGCACAGAGCAGGGATGGAGCAGATTCCCTGCAAAGCAGCCAGGGCTCCTCCAGCCCTCTGAACAGTCCTGGGTGGGATGGTAAGGGCTGGGATTTGGGGCTGCTGCAGGCAGTGACCACAGTGGCATTCCCAGCGTGGCAGGGAAGCGCTTTCCTGCTCTGCAAGCAGCGGTAGAGGGATGTGACGAGGTAGGGGACACAATTCGGGGTGACAGACCCTCTGCCACAACAGGATCCGAGCACAGGGATGCTCTGGGACAGACGAGCTGCCAGCACCCTGGTCCCTGGCCAGAGCACAGGGGACACATCCCACCCCCTCTGTCCTGCTGCCCCGAGCCAGCCAGGATTTCCCACAGCCCCAGAGTGCCCAGCCAGCCCTGAGCCGAGCAGAGCCCTGCCTGGCATCACTCACTCAGGGCCAGCATTGCCCCTGGGGCTCTGACAGGACCTGCCACCCTTCTGTCCCATAGGGATCCAACGGCACCAAACACACACCAAGGACAAGGATAGAGCTCTGTGCTCCTGTCCCCTCCCTGCCCCAGGCACAGGGTGACATTTCCACAAGGCAAATAAAACCCAGGCAAGGAGCCACCAACAGCACAGGCAGGGGGACCGGGCCTGGCAAGGGGGACACTGCTCCAGGCAGGGGATTGCGGTTGTTACTGGTGCTGCTGGCTCTGTCTTCCCTAATTTGCTCCAGGTTAAACTGTTCTGTATGAAAGTGTTCCTCTAGGAACAGGAAAAAGTGCTGAGCTGAGCTCCTGGTGCACCCAGGAGCCATTTCATAACCATCAATACAAGCTCCCAGACCCCGCCTGGCACCGAGAGCCGCCGTGGGGGGGCCGGTGGGTGAGGAGGGGATGCTGCAGGGACAAGGCACGGTGGGCAGCAGGAACGGCTGGAACTGGACACCTGGACAGCTGGGTGGTGCAGCTCCAGGCTGCAGGAGACCCCTTGGCAGGGCAGCCCCTGCCCATGGGACACTCAGCCGTGCCCGTGCCAAGGGCAGGAGCCCACGGCAGCTCTGCTGGGAGCAGGGAACAGCCTTCCCACTGGCTAAAGAGGAGGAGATTGGGAAAGGAAGTTGATATTTTGCCTTCTGGCTCTAAAGCCCTTCGGTTAATGCTCTGGGCTCACTCCTGGATTTCCTCCATAAGCTCCAGGGCTAGAAAGTCTCATTCCAAGCGGGCAAAGCGCAGCTTTGGGGGCCCGGCTGGGCCATGGGCAGCGTAGGGTTGGAGGGGCTGGAGGTGGCCAGACAACTCCACACACCTCAGAACCTTGACTTTCCACCTGCACGGGCACCCACATCCACATCACCCCCTCCCTGGAGCACGGGAGCGTCCCCAAGCCCCCCCCAGCCCACCAGGCAGAGCTGGCAGCAGGCTCAGGGGCTGCAGAGATGGTGCAGCCACCAAACTACCCAGCCAGGAGCAGGAGCCGGTTCAAGGAGTTATTTGGGATCAATCTGCTGACAGAAAGAGGCTGAAGCTGGTCAATAAACGGGATGGGCTCAGCCCGGCTCCTGCTCCCGGCCCCGAGCTGCTCCAGGGAGGGAAAGGCGTCACTTCTCAGCGGGTATTTCCATTTTAGCAGTTCCCAGCCCTGCCTCGGAGCCAAGGCTGCCCTGGGGAGGCAGTGCAGCTGCCACTCAGGGGACGGCTCTGCCCCCAGCACTGCCGTGACCTCGGGCCGGGGGCTCCATCCCCCCCGTGCCTCAGTTACCCCTTCAAGCAGGGGTGACAACTCCTTCCTCTTTTGTAGGGAAAAAAAAAAAAAGGTATCGAGGCACACAAATCATCCCTGAGAACTTCAACACCACTGCAACAGCTTAGCAGCTCCCATCTGCTGTGGGAGAGAAGGAAAAAAAAAAAAAAAACCCACAGCACAACTTGGAAGAAGCCAGAAATGAGCAACATTACAGGAAAGGCTTCACAGAACAGATGTCCACACCTTGCACCCACTGCGGTGTCTTCCCACAAGCGTCAGGGGGTCCCTGGCAGGACTCTGCCCTGCAGCTGCCTCAGCCCTAAAATTAAGTGAGCAGGTGAACACAAACCCTCCCCAGGCAAGACTGAAGATGTTCTGCCCCCGCTCTCTGTTCTGCACATCCTGTGGGACCAAGCCCGTCACCCAAGAGTTGGGGCCAGGCCCAGCAGGGTCTGGAGGGGCTCGGTGGGCTCTGCAAGAGGAGCTGCTCGGTTGTTTCTGGGGCAAAACACGCTCGAATCGTGAGGACGAACTGGTGAAGGGCACGGACGAGCAGGAGCATCCCTGTTCCACAGCCCGTGAGCACCTACGCCATAAAGTCTGATTCCCTCCCCTGGCAGGGGCTTTGGCTGCCATCTCTTCGTTCCTTGCAGGAGAAGCTCTTCCAAGGGTGGTATTTTCCACGCAGGAATTCTGGCGGGAGCCCACTGCGGAGGTGTCGCAGGCGTTACAAATGGGCCCCGGGCTCCTCTGGCGGCTCCCTGGGGAGCTCAGGTGCCCTTTTATCCAGTGACAAATTCATCCTGCCAGCTCGATGTGCTAACTTAGGCAAGACCCATTTTCCTGCCTCTTAACGAGCTCCAGCTCACGCACCCCCGGTAAGGACGCAGCGCCGCGGGGGGAGAGGGAAGGAGGCAACGTTTGGGCTCATGGTTCTCAGAGAGGGGCACCAAGAACACACCTGGCACACAGCGAGGCAGGGAGGGAAAACACCCTCCTTCCCCAGGGCTGGGGCAGCAACGTCCTGGCGGTGTCCCAGCAGTGCCACCGGAGCAGAGCAGGGGATCCCAGGTTTGGGAAATCCAAACCAACCCCCAGCACGGAGCCTCCCTGTCTCCCCACAGCCTCCCAGCGGGTTATGGATGCCCCAAAACTGCAGCCCTGCCATGTCCCCCTGAGGAAACAACCCCCAGGGGGTGAAGCTGCTCCCCAGCCTCAAGCTGAGCCTGCTCGTCTTGGAGAGGCTTCTGCTTGGCAAGAGCCATTGGATGCTCAAATCCAGCAAGGAAAGCTGGAGCAGCACCACAGTGCCTGGGAGAACACACTGAGCAGGGCAGGGAGCAGGTGTGCTCCAGGGAGCATCCTGGGCTCTCTCCAGCTCTGGAGAGGGATGCTCCAGTGCTGGGGACCAACAGTGACCCAGGAACGGGCACAGCTCCCGGGGTACAGCAGGGACAAGAACACCCCCACTGTCCCCCATCCCACCCGGACACGTCTCTGGGGATGCTGGGCTGGCACTTCTGCCTTGTCCCAGAGCACGACAGGACAGGGTCCCTGCTCCCACCCAGACCTGCTGTCACCCCTCGGGCGGCTCCTGCCTTTGAGGGTCTTCCCAGGCTCAGAGACCCCGGCCTGGGACAGCGGCAGAGCGGGACGGTGACCCGGTTCCCTGCGGGGCCACCGGGAAGGGGCTCCGGGGCACCGAGGGGACCGAATCCCATCCCCGGGGACAAGCTCTGCTACTCGCACCGGACCCGCTGCAGGACTCGCCCCGCCCGGGATCCCCCCGGGTGGCGGATC